TTTTTTTTTTTTTTTTTTTTTTTTTTTTTTTTTTTTTTTTTTTTTTTAAGTATATAATGGAGGAGGGGAAAAAAAGGGAGAACGGCTAGTGAAGTATTGCTTGGAGCCAAGCTAACAGAGTGGGCCCTGACCTTCCTCCCGAGACACGAGAAGCACCATCAAACCAGTCTTCAGTAGCAATATATTTTTATTTTTTGCTTTTTGACAAATTTTATACAAAAATTTTTATCTTGCAAACACTTAATTGCAAGTCTGCAGTTACACGTTAAACCGCAAGTGACAGTATAATGACCCCTAAATTAGTTTTTCCAATTATTTTGCCTCAGACAGTGCTTGGAAGTTTCACTCGGAGTTCTATTAGTATGGCAATAATATCAATATATTTTTATGTTTTGCATATGCCATTTTCCTGATTAATCAAAAATTTCTGTGTAGCAAATCTTTTATAACTATGAATATTTCTAACACGTTAAACAATGCCTCCATCTCGTATTTTAGTGGGAACTCTTGTATATAACCAACATATAAATGCAAACCATATAAGTAGAATATCTATACTTTTGGAAGTCGATTTTCATGTAAAAGATAAATTAAATTAGTTGCGGCTGGTTTATCATCGATTACATGGCTCTACTATAAGTTGTTACAACTTAGTTGTAATAATTATTTGGATCAGCGCCATCTAGCGGTCGTATGTAGAGTCGTCATGTCGTGACCGGGCTTCCGTAAAGGTATGATTGTTTATTGTTATACTAAAAAATAAAATTGACACCTATAGGATATTCATAATAAGTACTAGATCGTCTAGATCCATGTCCATCTAAAGTGCTACGCAGCGTAGCCTACGCTCTTTTCATTTACCTGGAAAAAGAAAATAACGCATTTAATGTTTTCTTGACGTCTAATTTATAGAACATACTTAAGCATTTGATTCGGAAATTAATGAACACTTAAATAAATGACAACGTTTAAGTTATAGTTACGAAGGATATATGTATACGACAGCTGTATAAAGCTTCTCTTATTAATTATTCTTGTGCATATTACAGAATCCATGGAAAGAAAATAGTACACTCTGATAGAGAAAACATTTAATAAAAGTATTATAACAAGTAAAACAAATAAAGTTGCATTTTTGCATAAATACATCTTCCTCATTAGTATGACTAAAATAGAAGACGTATAATCATACTGAACGCCACAAATAATATAACTAAGTTACTTCAAAAAAGTACATTTTTTGTAATTTTTTTTTTTAAGAAGTGTATATTTTTTTATACCGTAGTGTAACGTACTACCACATTAAAATAGGGTCAAATTTGAAATATCTAAAACATCAAAACACATGTACTTACATTTTTTATTGTACATGAAATTATTTTTTTTTAAATTTGTTTCCGTGCAAAAATTGTTTTTTTTATTTAAATACTTATACGGCAATCTCTAGTTTTCCTTAAAATAAAAAATTATTGATATTCTTCCATAAGGTGAGATAAGGAAAATCCACTATTCGTTCTTGTAAAAGATTTTACATTTTTTGATTAATCTGTTCCTGTTTTCTTACCGTACGAGCACGAAATTTTGCAAAGAAGAAAAAAAGTTGTACTATCAAAATTGGTACAAATTATTATATGCGTAGCAGGACATCAATATACTTTTTAAAAGGACAAGTAATGCTGAAAAGAAAGTGAGGTTTTTCCATATTTTTTATCAATATATTTTGTGAATACTCATATAGAAAGCAATTGGCCGCTTGATTCATTGGATTTTTAATGTAAAAATTACAGCAAATAAATTGGTGATACATGATGTCGTTTTTATTTTATTTGTTCGTAAATTATTTTATCCAACACCATACATCTGAATTTTCTGATTTCATTTTTACAGGGGGTGAACACTTCGATACACTTTTTTTTGTATTTTTATTTTTTATGCTTCAGTCCGGTGACAAAAAAATTCTCCTATATATATATACACACACACGCAATAGTTCTGAGCAATGATTTAATAAACGTGTTTCTTAGTTCTCATTTGACAATGTACAATATTAATAAGTTTGTGAAAATTACAATGATCAAAGTTAAGAAAATTAAAAAAAAAACAATGATTTTTTACATCATGACGATTTACAATAGTAATTTGAAAATTCACTCGTTAGTATGATAAAACTTGAGATTAAAAAAAAAAAATAAAATAAAANGTCCCTGGAAGGCATCGAATCTTTTAGTTTCGTGGGGGGTAACAAGCAGTCTTATCGTCGACTCGTGAATAATATGTTTTGTTGGCTTGGGTTCTGATGCTTGGTTGTTTTGTTTTTAATGTCTTTTTTTTTTTTTTTTTTTTTTTTTTTTTTTTTTTTTTTTTTTAAATTATTTGATACTTTAGTCAAACTGAGGATGTACGCAAAAATGAAGTAGGAAAAAAAAAATTTCTTACTCGTGACCTGGTAAACTTATTCATTTTTCCGTCATCTAATTTTTATCTTTTCATTTAAGATTTAAAGGTGTCACTAGTTCTTGCCATGTTATGTTTTATTTTCAATACGAACGTGATGTTTGATCGTTGCTGTTGGCTCTAACGGTATCGATATTTAAAAGGCTGCATTTCATTTTTCACTTATTTTATTTTTTTTTTTTGTATCTGTGCATGAAAGAAATGGTGCAGCGAGGAGATATGCAGGTCGAGTTTTTGATTGATATTTTTTGCTATTAAACAATAAATATCATCCATATTCAACGAAAACAGAACAGACTTAAAAACATGAAGGCTTTATGACGATGTCCATCGTCATAGGTGATATATTCCAAAGCATCTTCTCTCATCAGTTAAGTCACTTTCAAACTACTTATCACTTAATAACATTCTTTGGAACTACAGGCAAAATTTGTTTATCAGAAAGTTTATAATTGATCTTCGGTTGAACATTTGTATGAATAAATGTCTTGAGTAATGCATTTAAGTAATATTATCATGTAATAATTATTCATCATAAGTGTAAAAGTTGATACACAGAGCTTCCTTTTAATCACTGACAAAAAGACTTATAAAACGTGGCACATACACAATACTAGACAAAAACTCGGACAATACAAATCAGACTAAATTTTCATATGTTTCACCCCTATGTCATAATATACTTTGAGCCCTGTTTATACTGATATTTCCTACTTTTATATTTCTTCTCATTCTTATTAAAGTAGTTTCTTTTTTTTTTTTTCTGCACCAAAACTCATTCGCTGGCCCGTTATTTATTCCCTTTTTTTTCGTTATTTTTCATAATGTAAATAATATGATAATAATTATAATAATAGTTTAATTCAATTATCTACGATATTGTTGAGACTTCCTGCTCGCAAAAATAGTCGAGCGCCGCTCATAGCTCTACAATTTAAAATTATTACTTTTACTATTTTTTTTGTTTGTCCCTTTTTTTTCACTGCTTCAAAGCTTGGCTGTGCGTCCTTCAACAAACGCATATACAGTATTTTTAATTTTTTTTATCGCTGGAGGGCACTGACAAGCTCACAGGATGTTCATTGATATTGTTATTATTTTCGTTTTGACAGAGGCAACATAATTGATGAAACCAAAACCTTCGGCTCAGCTAGATTATGAGATAGTGAAAATCTATAACAAATCATAGATTTTTCAGAACAATCTCCCTCCCGGGACTTTTCCCTCCACTTCCTTTTGTTCTTCTTTTTAATTATCTCCCTTGTCTTCCTCATCATCATCTTCGTCCTCAGACGACTGCTGCTCGAGCCAAGTTAACCAGGCATTTACCTAAAAGCAAAAAACAATGGGTAGTTAATAAAAGCGTGCTTGCCAAATCCACCAAGATCATCGTCGACGATGACGAGACTAGAGACTCATTTGGCTTAATTACCTGGAACAAGGCATCACCCTTTCCTGGGTAAGCGTCGTTGACATCTTCCTTCCAGCGCATGAAAGCATCTTCATCAATAATTGAAAGATCATAAAGTGCTATGAACCAACGCAGCAGCATTCCCTTGGGGAAATTTAGCGACAGGCAGAAAACTTGCAATGAATGCACGGCAGTGACCTGTGACTCGACGGTGGGTAGAAGCGTTTGCAGCATACGCTGGTACTTGCGCAGCAACCCCGACTCCTTGTCTTGCAGAGATTTGTCAGGGATGACCGATGGATTGGTGCCAGGTTGAAACGTCGTTTCCTGCCAATAGAAACGCGAAAATGAAAAATCACATTTGCTACTGGAGTATGATGACGATGGCAAAGGGGGGAGGGGAATCATACCTGAGTGATGTATTTGATAAGAACGGTCATGAGGGCGTTGATAAAGCCAGGGTCAGAGTGGTGCGAGGGGTCGAGTTTTTCTTTGATCCACTTGTAGAGGCTGTTGGGCGCCGGATCGATCTCGAGTTGTCGCCACATGTCACCCTGGATTCTCAGTAGCGGATACAGGAAGGTGAGATCGCGATCTTCAAGAATCTCGCCGAGACGTTCCTTGGTCTTCTCGGCCTCTGGAAGCTGGCTAATGAGGTTAACCTTGCTCTCGTTGAAGATCTGCGTGAGCACGGCTTTGCCTTGGCTCTTGTGCAGCTGCTGTAGCGTGAGCAAAAAGAGCGGATAGTGTTGGCCGTTCTCGGTGACAGAGGCTAGGTCTGGGAGCTGCAGCATGCTGTCGAAAATAGCGCGCGCGGTCAGTTGGGCGACGTGCGAGGCTATGCACGGCACCGCGCTCTCCTTGTCAGCCATAGAGTTGACAAGTTCCTTCCAGCCATCGTGAAACTGCTGGCTAGTGAGGACGCTCTCCTTGCGCAGTTGGCTGATCAAATCAGCGGCTAGACCGCGCTCGGAGTCATTGCGCTCGAGGCTGTTGGAATAAATGGTGTATACAGCATAGCGCAAGAAGCGCTCGGCGATCTTGAGCTCCTTGAAGGCCGTGACGGCCTCTTCAACGTTGCCACGCGAGGCAAAGTCATCCATCATAGCGTTGACCTTTTTCATGACCTCCTCCTTGGTTGGGCCCTTGTCTTTGCGTTCGCGTTTTTCGCGCTTGTCGAGCGGTCCCTGCTTGATCAACATTACAGCTGGTGTCTCCTTGGTAGGCATTAGAGGCGGGCTCGGCTTACGCAGGGCTGCAGTGCGCATCATTGTGGGGTTTGGAATGCGCCCGGGGAACAGGTCCAGACTGCCATTGTAGATTGGCAGGTTGGGACTGATGTTGGGCTGCTTGAAGGTCATGGAGTTGGCCGCTGGCCTAAGCGAAATTTCTTCCGGTGGGCCGATAAGCATCTTATTCTTGTTGAAGCGCACGGGTTCTTTGTTGCCATCTATAGTGGGAAAAATAAAAAAATTAGAGAAATTTACGAATTAAATGGAAGACAGAGATGTATACGTGCATCGCATAAAGATAGAGCCCCGTTCCACTTACTATTGTTGTAATTTAGAGGCGTGTTGTGCTGCTGTTGTTGCTGCTGATTATGCTTGCCTTGATAGTTATGATTCTGGTGGCGATTTTGATTTTGATAAAAGGGTGAAGAAGAGGCATTGTTCTGGTTGCGTTGATTGTGCCGATTTGAGCCTGGCCCGTGGCCGTAGGGGCCAGATGCCGGCGAGCCGGACCCGAAGCCATTCGAGCCGGAAAAAGGCGATCCCCCGAGTCCGCCCATCGGGAAGCCCGGTGAGCTGAGTGGGATGATGCCGAGACCGTCGACCGGGTCGAGCCCGACGCGACCCATGCGCCGAAATAGATCGGCGCCGAGACCAGCGCGTCCACCGAGCTCGTTATCGCGACCACTGGGCCTGCCAAAGTAACTACCTTGCTGTCCAGGTCCGGATTGAAATCCGACCGAACCGAGGCCCCGATGGTGCTCGTCGCCGTCGCTGCGCAACTGATTGATGGGCATGGGGCCCTCGGTGCTCGTGGCTTTGCGCGGCACCCAGCCGTCCTTGCGCAGCTCGATTACATCGCGCAACATGAAGCGAATGCGCAGCGGCAGCTCGCTGCTCTTGGCGAGGACGTTCATGCGCTTGAAGTACTGCTCCATGAGCTGAGCGCCCTTTTCAGTGTCGAGGATGCGGCCGCAGGTGCGCATGATCTGGCACAGGCACTCAATGTCCTCGGCGGGGTCCCCCCTGGATCCGCTACGCCTCTTATCCAAAAGCTGCTGGATGCACTTGTGCAGGATCGGGTTCGATACGATTTCCAACTTGCCGAGTTCGCCGATAAACTTGATGTTGCCGAGCATCTTGCGTTTGGCCGTGTGCCGGCGCTCCTCGTCCTCCGGGCTAAGCTCCAGTTGATTCTCGAAGGCCTCGTTCGCCTTTGAGCGGTTCTCGAACTCGATGCGGCACTTGTTGAGCAGCATACGTGTGAAAGAGCTGTCGATGACACGCCTGCCGCCCTGCTCGATAGCCGACTGGTCGCCGATACCGCCTCCTCCGCGGCTGCGTAGATTGCTACTGCCATCATGATGCTTTTGCGAGTTCTCAAAGTTTGCAGCTTCCTCGGACAGCCTTTTGCACAGCTGTGCGTACATAGAACTGTACTTCGGTTCATCGAGAGCTTTTTCAAAGATCTGCAAATAAAACACAAAAAATCAATTTTCATTTATTTTTTTTATTTTATTTTATTTTTTAATTATTAATAAATAACCTAAGGACTAATCCGTCTTACCAGGAATATAACACCCTTGAGAATTACATCGGAATTGAGCTCAAGGTTGAGCAAGTCGTTGCTCAGCTTTGTGAACTTTTCCGGTGTGAGCTTGTTAAGAATGCCTCGCACCTTGCGGAAGATGACATCATTTCTGCTTTCTGGGGTGAGCGCATCGCGTCTAATAGTTGAAGGAGGGATCCAGCGTTGCTCAGTGGATAGGGAGCGATTATCGTCCCTGGAAGGCATCGAATCTTTTAGTTTCGTGGGGGGTAACAAGCAGTCTTATCGTCGACTCGTGAATAATATGTTTTGTTGGCTTGGGTTCTGATGCTTGGTTGTTTTGTTTTTAATGTCTTTTTTTTTTTTTTTTTTTTTTTTAAGTATATAATGGAGGAGGGGAAAAAAAGGGAGAACGGCTAGTGAAGTATTGCTTGGAGCCAAGCTAACAGAGTGGGCCCTGACCTTCCTCCCGAGACACGAGAAGCACCCCCCGGTCCTGTGGGGTTGTCCGTTGTTGCGCCTGTTTTGGCCCCCAGAACGACAAATCACGGCACGCAGATCTTTGGGTGGGAAAATCTGTAATCAATACACAAAAAAGAAACAATTGGATTAATTTATCATCTCCTCAATTAACAACGATTACACAATTATTGTATTTCAAATGTAATAAAAGGCTGTAACATACACGCATTGTTTAATAACGCACGAATTATTAGAATACTACAGCAGAAACAAACGAGCGAGTATACGTATACTCGATTGCATATTAGAAGAGAAAAGATCATAGTTTGGTATACCTATGAAAACAGAAGCGGAATGTAAAATTAAAATGAAAAGTGCAAAGGAAGAAAAGCTGTGCGTACCCGAGCTTGAGAGAATAAACAGCACCACGAGGAGGAGGAGGAGGAGGAGGAGGAGGAAAGAGTCGAGAGGGAAGGTATGTAAGAGGAATATATATATACACACACGAGAGGGAGATGGGGAGGAAAGAAAGGGCCGCGAAGATGGAAATTCTCTTTTCGACGACGTGCGGGATGTGGGGCGCGGCTCTCATGGTCAGACGGTCAATGAACCCCGAGCGTGCGCTCTGCTGCTCCTCTCCTCGCGTTCGACCTCGCCTGCAGCTCCGGCTCTTTCTTTCTCCCTCTCGTACATGTGTACATATATGTATATATAATATACGTATACGCGCCCCTTTTCGCTCCTGCTGCCACTTATGCCTCCTCCTCTTTCTTCTCCTACATGCGCGTGTGTGTTTGTAAGTATATCATGCACGCCAAACTAGATGTATGTATACACGAATCACCAACACGCTCAGACAACATCCCGTCGTCAATTCACCCTCCCCTATCATATATACACACGTATCCTATCCTATCCCAACACGTCGGTGTAACGTGTGATGTGGTGTAAGAGTTTTGCGTCGTCTCGTCTGTCGTCCGGGCAAATTTTTTTTTCTCATCGCTGGTTCTATGGTGAATTTTTCTTTGGATTTCGACAAAGTTTAATCGCTACTTTGGATAATCAAGAATAAGCCTTTCAGTGGAGAAAAAAAAAAAAAAAAAAAAAGATTACTGATCAACAGACAGTTTGCAGACACTTTTCAACTTGAGTCTTTTATTTTTCTCTTCAAAAAGTCATTTATGTATATTTGAAGAAAAACAAAAACAAGAGCTTTCGGGTACAGCTGACGCTCGTGTTGAATAAAAAAAAAAAAAAAAAAAAAAAAAAGTTAATACTCACACAAGCACAACGTACAGTTTCGTAGAAACGCACCGACGTCTCGCGAGACAGACAAAGTGAGGTATATCAGCTGTTGGCTCGATGACCTTGCGACTTTTTCTTTTATTTCTTTTTCCTTTTTTTTTTTTTTTTATTTGCAACAAAGGCACAGAAACTCGTGGCTGTAATATAATGTACGAGAAAGACAAAGGGGATATCGTGCTTTTTCACGATTTTCACAATCATTTCGCACACCATTATTACGTATTGCGTACTTACATTCCTTGCGACAATTATTTTGACGTGCCGACGCGCTGAGATTTTGAGATTAGAGCTACATATATATACCCACAAGTACACGATACTTTTACGAGCAGAGTCATTACAATTTCTTAGAGTATGGTCTATTAATCCTTCATTGGTAATAACAATTATTTTATCTCTGAGGCTGTATAGGAATTTCATAAAAATTGCATACTGTATCGTATACCCATTTGCCCTCCCAACAGACAACTGATCGAGTGTGGAAAAAACCCATACATATATCACATGTGGTGAGTAATACTTTAAAAACTTCGGCGTTCGCGTCTGTTCTTTTGTCGGACATCCTTGACTCGAAAGCATCTCAGACGCCATCAGTCGCGCGAGAGTCAATGTATCCTTAAATTATACTTGCACGTTCACGCGAATGTTATACGTATACTATGTTACATACGCGTACATGTACACGCACAGAGACGGTTTACTTGCACGATGAAATCCACGGGATATCAAGATTTCAACTCAAGTCGTGAACGAAGGCCCGATAACACCTTTTCAGAGATTTAATGTGGTGTACGTGAAAGATTAAACAAAAAATATACGCTTTTGTTCTTTGGTGTATAAGGTTTTGTACAACGTGGGGATGGTTAGTGGGGTTTTCCCGTCAAGTTTCCTCGTTCGAGTTCACCAAATCGGATAAGTGCCACTTTCTTCCCGATATCATTTTCAATTCAACACGTTTCAGTGAAGGAGTGCCTTATAAATTTGGGAAAGCAAAAAGTAAAAAGAGTACCCCAAGAGCACACGTTTTGTTCATATATTTATAGGACATTATATTTACAACCTTGATGAGTCATCGTAGAATCACTTGGGAAACGTAACGGTATTTTTTGTGGTTGGTGTTTCACGTACGCTCTAAAATTAATTCTTTCTTCGAACCATTAAAATATTTTGATTTTCCATGGACTTTTTTTTTTTTTATTATTATTGCAAAGAAAATTTGATCAATCACAAACAATATTATCAAGCGTAATTTTCGAAACTCATGTTTACGATGATGTATTTGTTTGGTTTTGGATACACTTGAGAACAATGAAAATTTTATCAATGATATAGTTAACAACAAACATCGAATGAATTAACCCCAATGAAACACGTGGATGGTAATTATTTTAGAATTTAAACAAATGCACACTTCTCGATTGATGTAGGTATAATGCTCGTGACAAAGTGTGACGTCGCATTGGGAGCTGTGAGAGCGAAACGATATGTTACATTATGCGCGTGGCAGTCAGGATCAAGACAAAGAAAAAGCTTGCTGGTGGTGCAAAGAAATGGCTCGTCTCTTGTAGCTTGACAGCCAAGTAGTTGCCACTGTTGTTACTTTCAAGTCACAACGATTTGTTGGGTGTACTAATTGGACACCACACGAAGATTGTCAGGAATAATGAGACAACGATGGATTTTTTTTAATTTTATTTTAAACAAGAAAAAATTTAATGACTTATCGTTAGTACCCTACGTGTAATTAAAATATGTTTACCTACTTCTTATAGGAAATAAAAGTCTAAAAATGTATCTTTTCGACTATGTCACTTGAACTTGAATCGTATTCTACTTTGCTCTGTTGATACAATGTATGTACCTATAGGATTTTTCACGAAGTATAAAATGATATGAATCTTGAGTTTTTTTTTGGTAACGGCTTGGCTAGTCATTCAAGTTTAATGATTTTTTTTTGCAGTTCACTTTCTAATAAACTAAAGTCAGAAATCCACTTTAATATACAGCTGATGAGCTTAAATAGGCAACATTCACCACTTGATTTACATAATCCGACTCTCGTTGTGCCCTACTGTTATCATAATTAAACTTTGCCCCAATAAAACTGTATATCTTGAAGCGGTGTCAATGTGTTAAAAATTACAAATGAATCGAATTAAAACGAAAAAAGTCCCGTTATATAACTCATGGACTATTAATTTTTAGTATTTTCTTGTTTTTTTTTTTTCCTCTTGACTAATACGTAAAATAAATTTTTTTTCAAATACTGTGAACGATTCGATTCATAGTAACGTCGATAGCAAGGAAGTTTGAGCTAACAATCGTTACTTAAACCAAATTCTCGGTACAGTTATGGAATTCCGAGAAGGCAAAGAGCGTAGATAATTAATGATAGAAAACTTAGAGGAGATAATGTCGACGGCTCTTACGAAAAACAACGAAACTCAGAAATTCCAATGTTATTTTAAATGGGAAAATCTGAGTTCCGTTGTTTTTCGTAAGAGCCGTCGATGTGATGTTGAAAGAAATTTCGAAAACATGTAGAGATGCGCTAGCAATGAAGAAATTATTTGGCGTAATAACCGAGCGATAAGAGAGTCCGAGAAGCCAATTAAGTCAAAGGCAGCGCAATCACGGGTTTTCAAATATTTTCGACTGGACCGTGGGCTAACGGTGTGCAAATGAGCTCACTCAGCTCAAGATACTTACTTATTAATTGCCCACATCAGCAATAAAACTTGCAAATCACCACACATACAAGTGTCTACAGGTTGTATATTTCTGTGGCAATGTACATGTAGGGTATACAATACTACACATTCACGTGTAATAAAAAAAAAAAGTGTAAGTTGTACGCAGGTGCATGAACTTCAGAGTAAGAGAAAAGCTAAGTGCTCTCTCTTCGTACCATATACTCAACTGCAAAGTCCATGGTTTGTATATGTATATACTTTAGATTAAACGCAACCAAGCGCTACGACAATATACTGTACAATACTTGCGTTGCCTACACGTTAAACCTCCCTCCCCCTGCGTATATAGTACAACGACTCCTCTATATTTCTTTCTCTTCTTCTTGGAGCACACCACTGCTGCCAACCACACCGCCAGAAGCTTCGTATGTTTGCTTATAGGCTTTTTTTGGAGTTCACATCACAATTTTGCTACTATAAGTATACACATGACAACTAAGAAAAATGTTGTTTTTTTTTACATGTTCCATAGATTTTTATTTCATTTATTGAGATTTTTTTTACCTTTCGAAGAGATAGCTGAACATATTGTTTTGCGTTTCCTCGACACTGTGTATAATACTATGAATTATTTCAATCGCATAAGCTGAAGAGATCCACCGGCGAGGAGGTTGTAAAGTTGAATGATTCCCAAAGTGTGCAGTGACACGAAAGTGAAGATGAAAACAGAGAGAGAGAGAAAGTACATAATATATACGCATCGAGATGAGACAGAGGGAGGTGGTGGCGTGTGGAATGCCAGAAGGGGAGTACGTTGGCAGCGATCACTAGCCAGAGGTTGTTGCTACCCCGTACCCTAACACCGCAGACCATCCATGTCTCTCTGAGCCTTCCAAAACTCATTTTCCAATCCTTTTCCAACAATCATGTAAAAAGACCTCGTTGATTTGTCACCCGTTTATGTTTGCGCAAGTTTTTACTCACTTTTATTCGCGATATCCCATTACCGAAGGTTTCCTTCTCTTTGGATTTTATGAATAAGGAAAAAAAAAAAAAATGAGCACAAACAGTGGGTATTGTGTCATGTTTGCATTTTAATTGTACCTCGATTGCGGAGCGGCGGAAAGGAACCTCGGCTAGATGGGAGGAAGAAAAAAAATTCAATTGGCTCTTTCCGCTCCGTGGATCGAAGTGAAGAAACTTTGCTGCTGATGGGCACGGCATTAACAGGTTTCTTCTTCTTTGCACGTATAGATCATCAGAGAGTGAGAAATTTCGCCCACGCTCTTTGGCTTCAAAGTCCATGAATGAAAGCCACTACCTACACAGCGTAGGTACACACCGAGAGAGAGAGAGAGAGAGAGAGCGAGTCCGTGCACCGGCACGACGGTCAGCCAACACGAGTCGCATGTAAATGTCCTTGAAATATATACACTCTCGTGCAACCGTCGATGAAGACAACGGCGACGACGATGACGCGCCGTATACGCACCCACGACAATTTTTTGTTTTTTTTCATTTGTTCGTCTCATTGCTCCATGCTGATGACGATTTTATCAACGAGTGGTCCTGCTTTGTATACGCGATTGCGCTCTCGCTCTCGTTTTGTACTTGAAAAAAACAGTTATTTTTTTTTTTTCAACAAGACTCGCACGTCGAGTTAACGATTAATAAGCTGAATCGTTAAGATGGAGCTACGAGTCCAGATCGATTGTGGAACACCACACTGTTTGAATGACTTTGACTGATGACGAGGGTTTAGACACTCAACTAATAGGACTCATCCTCAATCACACGATTAGGCTTAGGGAGCATAATTATGCTGCTCAATTTGTGACAAGGGCAATAATTTCAACAACTAACGGTAGAATTTGTTTGACATGCAGTTATCAAGCTGAAGATTGTCCAAAAAAATTGTAAGATAAAAATCAAACTCGTTTAATTTCTTTTGGTCTCTCTCGAAAACCTTTCTTACGCGTTGGGTGAGGTACCAACGCAACAGGAGAAATTAAATTGTGATATACGTGCGTAGCCTTTTACTACCACATAGATACCTAACTTGTGGTAAGTAGAACAGAATAAGAAAAACTGACGAAACATACCTCCCACTGAATTTTTGTTTGAAGAGAAAGTTTTTTTTTCTTCTTTTTTTTTAAACCTTCATGGTTACTTTGCCGGTTAAATTAATACAGCCGTGAGTAATTCAGAATATTTGTCGGGAAAAACATCGTGATCGTGTGAAATTGGGCACACTGTCGGGATTTCAGTGCAGACAGCTTTAAATGATAAAAAAAGTGGTCGTCTTCAATATCACAGAGAAAAAAAAAAAGAAACGATACACGTATATGTAATCATGCATGCATAATTAAAAATCCTCGAATTAAAGTTTTCTAATGCTTCGAGTTTTTATCATGACAGTGATTAAAACAGCAACAATAATTAAACAAAACATACAGACATGCACAAGAACCAGTTATCGCCATGGAATCTATGTACACGGGGTACGACACCGCGAATCTACGTTTTGCAGACGTTGAAAGGGAACATCATAACAATAATTAATTATACAGGTACAGGTAAATTCATAAGGATGGATGGTAATTTGTTACGTTTAGTTTTCGTTAATGCAAGTCTAATGGGCGAATAAATTTGATGTCCCCGTGTCAAGATTAGATGGGACAAGAGCGAAGAGAGGACGAAGAGCCCTGACGATGGGAGTTGAGAGCGCTTGCACGGCAAGAGCAACAGCACCATGACTATCGCTAGGTCCCTACTGCATTCAAGGTGCCCAATGCTTATTCCATAGGCTAGACAATACAACATGGGTTGAGACGATGATACTGTTAAATACCATTTTATTTCGTTCCCATAAATATCTTGTACACCCATAGAAATGGCAAGGCCACAGTGTAAGAGTGTATCCACACACACACACACACAGACAGACAAATGTATACGAGGACGCTCACAAGTACACAAGAGGAGTAATGAAACGTTCAAAAGTGGCAAGGGTCTGCCGACGAGTCCCGACGAAGGAAGCATGGCTCGGATATCGGCTGCGTGGAAGGCATAACCCGAGAAACGGTACCTAGCAGCAGAACACAGACGTGTGTAGATACACACAAAGAATAAAGCGGCCTACATGACGCACCAAGTCGACACGTCACCGATGAGCTCCACTGCCCGAAGCACCTAGAGACTATCAGTAGCGTCTTCACTAGTGTTGCCGCCATGTCAATACCACCACGTTCTCTTAACTCGCCTGTTAAAAGCACATTCTTCACAATCCGGGCCTACCTGTGTCTACTGCACTTGTACGGGCTATTGTACCAGCAGCAGAGCTCGCTCAGCTGTACTCCCGCACTCTGGACGCGCGAGGGCCGCGCCTCTCTCGGATAAATTTTCTTTTTCCCTCGATTCTATTCCCGTATAATAATAACTCGTCTGCACTCGCACACTACAGGGAAAGGGTGGGAGAGAGAGCAAAAGGGAGCGCGAGAGAGAGTCGTCGACTCGGAGCCCGGAGGGCCCAGCTGGGGGAGTCGTCGCGACGCGAGGGGACGATGCGTATCCTTACAGCCGTCGATGGTCAGCGGACGAACAAGAGAGGCAGCACTTACTTACTTGGGACCGACGAGGACGATGATTCTTGTGTGTTGCGAGGAAGGCTCTTCGGACTCCCGTTACTGTTTCTTTCTCTTTTTCTCTTTCGGGAGTTCTCCGCGCGGAGGTAAGGCGCGCGCGCACACACTACTGCCTGCCTGATGAACTAGCTCGGCTAGGCCGAGAGACGATATGAGAGAGTATATAGGAGAGAGAGAGAGACTCTCCCTCCCCCTCAAGACTCCAAAACGAAAAGTCCGACCCCCCCGCCTCCATCGAAACTGGCCTATGGCACACCGCGAGAGCTTCTGCTTGGCTCGATCCGATCAGTGCTGCCACAACACGAGCTAACGCGGTGATGTGTATTCCCTAGCTATGTTTCCCCCTTTTGCTATGGGGAAAGAGAGAACCCCATGCATATCGTTGAATTATCATCCAAGAACCCAATGCAAGGCTTTATTTTTTTTAGTGTTAATTCACAGTCCTAAGTCAAAGTTACAACAAGGTTTTAATAAATTATTTTTATTTCTCTAGAGAGCTGGGTGTTTTAACCTTATCGCAAGGTGTTTATCCCAACACATGTATGCGCGCACGTCTCACTTGTTTACTACTTGATTTGTACATGCTTTTGCACATAGGTACGATATTGCAAACAAATCCACGCAGCAATATTCAATAAGTCATACTCTCGCATAGTTGATTGCAGTTATATTTTTAACCTGATACGTATAAGGAGTAAGTGATAAATTTAGTAATGATGTTCTTAAAAATTATATATATATCAATTGACAATTGGCAAAAAACGAAGTCTATCAAAGGGGAAACAAATCCCAAAAAAAGATTACAAGATTAGCATAGCTCTCATTGTGTATGAAAAGTAATGTTTGTAAAAATAGCTGACAGAACTTTATATAAATAGTATATAAGTAGATATCGATTTCATTTAAGGCATTTCGTCAAAGCATAGATTATTAAGCTCATTATTGACTGACTCATACTGCAGGATCATTCAACAGATATGAAAAGCTGCGCCATCAGTGTACAAATATTTTTTGATCAATCGTAAGTCTCGAATATCTGCTAACATTCTGACTGTATAATGTTGATGAAAATAAATACTCATATAATCATAGGTGGTACTGTAGATATTATAATGAACTCGATTTAATTATCTCGGACCACCTAGCAGGACTGATCGAATTTATTTATTGTGAAAAATGTGGTGTAGGTAAAAGAAAAGCAAGACAAAGGGTGTTTTGGATATCTTTGTAATGAGCCCAGAATTTTAACTGCATTAAATTGAAGCAAATTTGTTATGCCTGATATACGTAAGTATGTTAGACAGCAAATTGTGACAAAATGCAAAAAAAAAGGTTAGAAATGAGCAAATTGAACAAAAACTTGTTCTTACATGTACGTGGTTGACAGTGTCCGCAATCCTTGTAGGCGACGGGGGCGTCGGCTGTGTCTCGCGTCCTCGATGCTTCACACACAATGCAAACACGGAGCTCGCCGAGCAAGGGCGAGATTGTGGCTCGCGCGAGAGACTACGCGCGCGTCACGTCGACGTCGTCTCCCTTTGGTTTTTGTGTGTCGGTCGCTGCTTCAGATTGAAAAGGACACGGGCCTTCACCAAGAAAATAATAAATAAATAAAATGCCTACGTCTGCGCGTCCGAATGTCCGACACGCTACTGCTCAAGCAAGCACCAGCAAGATTTTTTTTGCACGACAGGAGCGCTCCTACCGTCATCAACTTTTATCACAAAGATGACACAGGGTCTATTGTTCCGAAAGAGAACTAAGTTCTTGAACCAAACTACACTTATACTTTTTTTTTTTTTTTTTTTTTTTTTGTCAAGCAAACAATATGTGTTAATTTTTTAAACTAACTCATTTAACGTATTCATTATCTAACGAGTTGAGCGCTTTTCTCAATGTTTTTTAACCACCATTAAAACTTGTCAAAGTTCTTGTAACTTTTCCTTTCTTGTCCTTGTAATCTTTTTAATGATTTAAATATTTCTCCTAATAAGTAGTATTTTTCTCGGCGTATTTTTTTGTTGTTGATTAACTTGAAAGGCACTTGAAAATGACAATTTTGAAATACCTAACTCGTAAATACGTGAGAGGAGAGGTTAAGGTGATTGGAAAATTTTGACTGTTTCAAAATTTGTGCGTTTTTCGATCACCCGAAAAAAAAAAAAAAAAAAAAAAAAAAAAAAAAAAAAAAAGTTAATACTCACACAAGCACAACGTACAGTTTCGTAGAAACGCACCGACGTCTCGCGAGACAGACAAAGTGAGGTATATCAGCTGTTGGCTCGATGACCTTGCGACTTTTTCTTTTATTTCTTTTTCCTTTTTTTTTTTTTTTTATTTGCAACAAAGGCACAGAAACTCGTGGCTGTAATATAATGTACGAGAAAGACAAAGGGGATATCGTGCTTTTTCACGATTTTCACAATCATTTCGCACACCATTATTACGTATTGCGTACTTACATTCCTTGCGACAATTATTTTGACGTGCCGACGCGCTGAGATTTTGAGATTAGAGCTACATATATATACCCACAAGTACACGATACTTTTACGAGCAGAGTCATTACAATTTCTTAGAGTATGGTCTATTAATCCTTCATTGGTAATAACAATTATTTTATCTCTGAGGCTGTATAGGAATTTCATAAAAATTGCATACTGTATCGTATACCCATTTGCCCTCCCAACAGACAACTGATCGAGTGTGGAAAAAACCCATACATATATCACATGTGGTGAGTAATACTTTAAAAACTTCGGCGTTCGCGTCTGTTCTTTTGTCGGACATCCTTGACTCGAAAGCATCTCAGACGCCATCAGTCGCGCGAGAGTCAATGTATCCTTAAATTATACTTGCACGTTCACGCGAATGTTATACGTATACTATGTTACATACGCGTACATGTACACGCACAGAGACGGTTTACTTGCACGATGAAATCCACGGGATATCAAGATTTCAACTCAAGTCGTGAACGAAGGCCCGATAACACCTTTTCAGAGATTTAATGTGGTGTACGTGAAAGATTAAACAAAAAATATACGCTTTTGTTCTTTGGTGTATAAGGTTTTGTACAACGTGGGGATGGTTAGTGGGGTTTTCCCGTCAAGTTTCCTCGTTCGAGTTCACCAAATCGGATAAGTGCCACTTTCTTCCCGATATCATTTTCAATTCAACACGTTTCAGTGAAGGAGTGCCTTATAAATTTGGGAAAGCAAAAAGTAAAAAGAGTACCCCAAGAGCACACGTTTTGTTCATATATTTATAGGACATTATATTTACAACCTTGATGAGTCATCGTAGAATCACTTGGGAAACGTAACGGTATTTTTTGTGGTTGGTGTTTCACGTACGCTCTAAAATTAATTCTTTCTTCGAACCATTAAAATATTTTGATTTTCCATGGACTTTTTTTTTTTTTATTATTATTGCAAAGAAAATTTGATCAATCACAAACAATATTATCAAGCGTAATTTTCGAAACTCATGTTTACGATGATGTATTTGTTTGGTTTTGGATACACTTGAGAACAATGAAAATTTTATCAATGATATAGTTAACAACAAACATCGAATGAATTAACCCCAATGAAACACGTGGATGGTAATTATTTTAGAATTTAAACAAATGCACACTTCTCGATTGATGTAGGTATAATGCTCGTGACAAAGTGTGACGTCGCATTGGGAGCTGTGAGAGCGAAACGATATGTTACATTATGCGCGTGGCAGTCAGGATCAAGACAAAGAAAAAGCTTGCTGGTGGTGCAAAGAAATGGCTCGTCTCTTGTAGCTTGACAGCCAAGTAGTTGCCACTGTTGTTACTTTCAAGTCACAACGATTTGTTGGGTGTACTAATTGGACACCACACGAAGATTGTCAGGAATAATGAGACAACGATGGATTTTTTTTAATTTTATTTTAAACAAGAAAAAATTTAATGACTTATCGTTAGTACCCTACGTGTAATTAAAATATGTTTACCTACTTCTTATAGGAAATAAAAGTCTAAAAATGTATCTTTTCGACTATGTCACTTGAACTTGAATCGTATTCTACTTTGCTCTGTTGATACAATGTATGTACCTATAGGATTTTTCACGAAGTATAAAATGATATGAATCTTGAGTTTTTTTTTGGTAACGGCTTGGCTAGTCATTCAAGTTTAATGATTTTTTTTTGCAGTTCACTTTCTAATAAACTAAAGTCAGAAATCCACTTTAATATACAGCTGATGAGCTTAAATAGGCAACATTCACCACTTGATTTACATAATCCGACTCTCGTTGTGCCCTACTGTTATCATAATTAAACTTTGCCCCAATAAAACTGTATATCTTGAAGCGGTGTCAATGTGTTAAAAATTACAAATGAATCGAATTAAAACGAAAAAAGTCCCGTTATATAACTCATGGACTATTAATTTTTAGTATTTTCTTGTTTTTTTTTTTTCCTCTTGACTAATACGTAAAATAAATTTTTTTTCAAATACTGTGAACGATTCGATTCATAGTAACGTCGATAGCAAGGAAGTTTGAGCTAACAATCGTTACTTAAACCAAATTCTCGGTACAGTTATGGAATTCCGAGAAGGCAAAGAGCGTAGATAATTAATGATAGAAAACTTAGAGGAGATAATGTCGACGGCTCTTACGAAAAACAACGAAACTCAGAAATTCCAATGTTATTTTAAATGGGAAAATCTGAGTTCCGTTGTTTTTCGTAAGAGCCGTCGATGTGATGTTGAAAGAAATTTCGAAAACATGTAGAGATGCGCTAGCAATGAAGAAATTATTTGGCGTAATAACCGAGCGATAAGAGAGTCCGAGAAGCCAATTAAGTCAAAGGCAGCGCAATCACGGGTTTTCAAATATTTTCGACTGGACCGTGGGCTAACGGTGTGCAAATGAGCTCACTCAGCTCAAGATACTTACTTATTAATTGCCCACATCAGCAATAAAACTTGCAAATCACCACACATACAAGTGTCTACAGGTTGTATATTTCTGTGGCAATGTACATGTAGGGTATACAATACTACACATTCACGTGTAATAAAAAAAAAAAGTGTAAGTTGTACGCAGGTGCATGAACTTCAGAGTAAGAGAAAAGCTAAGTGCTCTCTCTTCGTACCATATACTCAACTGCAAAGTCCATGGTTTGTATATGTATATACTTTAGATTAAACGCAACCAAGCGCTACGACAATATACTGTACAATACTTGCGTTGCCTACACGTTAAACCTCCCTCCCCCTGCGTATATAGTACAACGACTCCTCTATATTTCTTTCTCTTCTTCTTGGAGCACACCACTGCTGCCAACCACACCGCCAGAAGCTTCGTATGTTTGCTTATAGGCTTTTTTTGGAGTTCACATCACAATTTTGCTACTATAAGTATACACATGACAACTAAGAAAAATGTTGTTTTTTTTTACATGTTCCATAGATTTTTATTTCATTTATTGAGATTTTTTTTACCTTTCGAAGAGATAGCTGAACATATTGTTTTGCGTTTCCTCGACACTGTGTATAATACTATGAATTATTTCAATCGCATAAGCTGAAGAGATCCACCGGCGAGGAGGTTGTAAAGTTGAATGATTCCCAAAGTGTGCAGTGACACGAAAGTGAAGATGAAAACAGAGAGAGAGAGAAAGTACATAATATATACGCATCGAGATGAGACAGAGGGAGGTGGTGGCGTGTGGAATGCCAGAAGGGGAGTACGTTGGCAGCGATCACTAGCCAGAGGTTGTTGCTACCCCGTACCCTAACACCGCAGACCATCCATGTCTCTCTGAGCCTTCCAAAACTCATTTTCCAATCCTTTTCCAACAATCATGTAAAAAGACCTCGTTGATTTGTCACCCGTTTATGTTTGCGCAAGTTTTTACTCACTTTTATTCGCGATATCCCATTACCGAAGGTTTCCTTCTCTTTGGATTTTATGAATAAGGAAAAAAAAAAAAAATGAGCACAAACAGTGGGTATTGTGTCATGTTTGCATTTTAATTGTACCTCGATTGCGGAGCGGCGGAAAGGAACCTCGGCTAGATGGGAGGAAGAAAAAAAATTCAATTGGCTCTTTCCGCTCCGTGGATCGAAGTGAAGAAACTTTGCTGCTGATGGGCACGGCATTAACAGGTTTCTTCTTCTTTGCACGTATAGATCATCAGAGAGTGAGAAATTTCGCCCACGCTCTTTGGCTTCAAAGTCCATGAATGAAAGCCACTACCTACACAGCGTAGGTACACACCGAGAGAGAGAGAGAGAGAGAGAGCGAGTCCGTGCACCGGCACGACGGTCAGCCAACACGAGTCGCATGTAAATGTCCTTGAAATATATACACTCTCGTGCAACCGTCGATGAAGACAACGGCGACGACGATGACGCGCCGTATACGCACCCACGACAATTTTTTGTTTTTTTTCATTTGTTCGTCTCATTGCTCCATGCTGATGACGATTTTATCAACGAGTGGTCCTGCTTTGTATACGCGATTGCGCTCTCGCTCTCGTTTTGTACTTGAAAAAAACAGTTATTTTTTTTTTTTCAACAAGACTCGCACGTCGAGTTAACGATTAATAAGCTGAATCGTTAAGATGGAGCTACGAGTCCAGATCGATTGTGGAACACCACACTGTTTGAATGACTTTGACTGATGACGAGGGTTTAGACACTCAACTAATAGGACTCATCCTCAATCACACGATTAGGCTTAGGGAGCATAATTATGCTGCTCAATTTGTGACAAGGGCAATAATTTCAACAACTAACGGTAGAATTTGTTTGACATGCAGTTATCAAGCTGAAGATTGTCCAAAAAAATTGTAAGATAAAAATCAAACTCGTTTAATTTCTTTTGGTCTCTCTCGAAAACCTTTCTTACGCGTTGGGTGAGGTACCAACGCAACAGGAGAAATTAAATTGTGATATACGTGCGTAGCCTTTTACTACCACATAGATACCTAACTTGTGGTAAGTAGAACAGAATAAGAAAAACTGACGAAACATACCTCCCACTGAATTTTTGTTTGAAGAGAAAGTTTTTTTTTCTTCTTTTTTTTTAAACCTTCATGGTTACTTTGCCGGTTAAATTAATACAGCCGTGAGTAATTCAGAATATTTGTCGGGAAAAACATCGTGATCGTGTGAAATTGGGCACACTGTCGGGATTTCAGTGCAGACAGCTTTAAATGATAAAAAAAGTGGTCGTCTTCAATATCACAGAGAAAAAAAAAAAGAAACGATACACGTATATGTAATCATGCATGCATAATTAAAAATCCTCGAATTAAAGTTTTCTAATGCTTCGAGTTTTTATCATGACAGTGATTAAAACAGCAACAATAATTAAACAAAACATACAGACATGCACAAGAACCAGTTATCGCCATGGAATCTATGTACACGGGGTACGACACCGCGAATCTACGTTTTGCAGACGTTGAAAGGGAACATCATAACAATAATTAATTATACAGGTACAGGTAAATTCATAAGGATGGATGGTAATTTGTTACGTTTAGTTTTCGTTAATGCAAGTCTAATGGGCGANTAATAAATTAAATGTTGTCCAAAGTTGAAGTTCAAAGGTTTTAAAAGTAGTTAAGAATTGTAATTTTTAGCTTTACTTGTATCAAGTATGTATCACAATAATATACATACTGCGGGCATCTATGCCTGCGTGCTCTTTATACTGTGTTGCTTTCGCGAACGCGAGAAATTGCATTTCTCGGCCACGTCAGATTTGGCTATAAATCTAAAAAAATTTGTAATTTATTAAACGATACCTGAAAAAACTTGAATACAACAGCAACAATTCACAACTCATCGACGTAATAGCCGTATGTATGTGAGCACTCACCTCCATTTTTCGGTCATTGCAACTGTGGCTACTCGAAGTTTTATTAGTAAACTTTTTAATAATGACAGTGCATGTACGAATGAGGTTTCTCAAAAAATTTTACTTACATTGAGAAAAAAATAATTTCAACGTATTTCCAAAGCATAACGAGTTTAGAATTGATCACTTACAACGTAATACCAAGTTAACGGTGGGGACGTTGTACTGCTGCTAATACAGATGTAATAACTAACTTTCACTAATTACATTCTCAGTTAACATGAACACATATTTTTTAATGAAGAAAAAAAAATTGTCTGTAAATTTAAAACAGTATTTATACAAAGTAAGAGCTTAGTTGTTTTTTACAATAAAAAATATTTTATAAAATGGCCAGGAGCTATTTCATATTAATTATATGTATAACTTTAACATATTATGTATTATTATAGTTTGACAAAAATATTACAAATAGAAACAGTGTATTTTATAGTAATATCTTTGTTTAGATTTTTAATTAAAAGCCATAAATAAGGTCAAAATAGTTAAATAATGACACGTTATGAAGGAAAAATTCAATTTTATTTTTTAGTGCATTGGTTTTAACATCATAAAAATAAAAACAATTTATGTATGAGACAGCCATTTTTTTCAAGTTAAATCAAGTTATTTAAATATTTAATTAAAAGCATTCCAGATTTTATTAAATCTTCTATATAAACTCTATCATAACAAATGTACTTGTATGAAAACAAAAAAAAAAAAAAAAAACGAAACGAAAAACTGTACATACAAATGATAAAGGTTTCGAATAAACGATACTAAACAATAATAACAATACGTACATTGAACTATTATTTATATTTAATTAATACATATACAAATAGTGTAAAAACGTTTCAAACATGTATATGTACACCATGATTTTAATTCTGTTTTTAAGCTATTGAGTGTTTTTGTTTTGCTGAAACAGTGTCAGCGAGAATTAATATAAATCATAATTTTTGTACACATTAGCGAGATACATAAAATTGAGTTAACAGATAGGTATGTATGAAGCTCAAATAATGAGTAATAATCTAATAATAAACGTTGATTATTTACTAACATTGGGAATCAAAATGTATAACATCAATAAAATCAGTCGTAATTTTTATCGTATTAACTATGTTACTGTAATACTTTGGAACATCACAACTGTGAATTCTTTTGCGTCGATTAAGCGAATTTTCCTCAGTTTTGTGGTCTTTTGGCTTTCATCCTTCCTTGCAACGTGAGCAAAAGGCTATTAAGAACATCGTGGTTTGGAAATTTTTTGGCAAAAATCAGTCGTTTCACCGAGTCATCGTACGTCAAAAGAGCCACCATATTCTGTAGTAAAAACCCCTGACAATATTCTAATAACTGCGATGCATTGTAAACCTAGAATTTCCCATAGATTATTATAATACGATGTAGACACATAGATCTTTGTAACTGGAGAAATTTGATGAACATTACCTTGGCATGAATGTACATCGAAACAATGTTGTCGAGATTGATCGTCGTCGAACATTGGGCCTCACAAAACCGCAACAATCCGTCTAGTTGGAAAAAATTAGCCGCCGCCATCAATTCCAGCACGTCATTCTGACTGATTTTTAAGTTGGAGCAGCCTCCGTTGTACAAAAACTCCATAACCATCTGTAAATTATCCGGGCGATCAATCAAACGAGTCAAAACCTAACGTTGTTGAAAAAAGCAAAAGCGGGTCTTACTTGAAAAATGTGATAACGAATGTCGTTGATTTGAACGATCGGTGGATTGCCTTGGCACAAGTTGGAGCTCAGCATACTTTTAAACCTGCTCGACGAGGTGACGAGAACAATCTTATGACCATAGAACACCCGGCCCTCGACTCTGAACTGCACGTCGCTCAGTTCGGGATTGTTGACAAACTTGGGATCTATCCTCGAGCCACCGTTCGAGAGGCTCGCATTTCTTACCGGTTTAATGGGCTCCCAGCCAAAGCACGTGCTGAATATGTCGGCCAGCAGCAATATCGTCCCTTCTTTCTGTTTCGAGTTAACATCAATTAGATCCTGCCCGCACGTAGTAATATATAATCGCACGACACAATGACGATCGGTATATGACACACCTTGTTGTACCGAAAGATGTTGAAGAGCAACGGCAAGCCCTTTTCGACAAACTGCGTTGAATAGTCATCGGAGCAGACCTGGAAGTCCTGGAGGAGCTGATCGACGACCGAGTCCATCCGCATCTCGTGGGCCAACGAGAGGCTCTGCATCCAGCAGTGCAGCGTCCACGAGACCCCAAGTTCCCTCAGATCCATCGTTATGTCTGAAGAAAGTCGTTATACCATTTGGATAATTATTATCCGGTTGTTCTCGATTAGGCGATCTTATATGTGTAGCCAATCAATCGAATCACTCACCCAAATGGTTGTTCTCCACGCTGTGGTACATGGCCTCCTGAAGGACCTTGTACTGCGTCTTGCTGAATTGACGCACAGGGGTCTCGAGCTGCTGGTGTTGCTGCGTGGACGTGCCCTCGGCCAGGATTTCTTCGAGCGAGAGCACCTCCTTCTCGCCACCCCGCCAGCTGGAGAAGTTCGAGGGATGCGACAGGAGCTGCTGGAGACAGGCCCTGTGGCCGTGAGCCGCTGCCACGGAAATGGCACTGTAGCAACCGCGCTGGGCCGGCGAGCCAGAGTAGCAACACTTTGAGGAAAAAAAAAAAAAAAAACTTGTAAGTAGCCAATCATAGATTGTTAGTTGTAACGTATTTTATACATTCAGTGTCCGACTCACCGAGTCCGAGAGCGTCGAGAGGAATGGCTGGGCGCCACCGTGATCGAGTAGCAAGGCAATCATCTCGAGTTTGCCGGCAGCCGCTGCAGCTTGGATCGGCATCACCGCGCACCTGTCCCCACCGCCACCAACGGCCGCGCCACAATCGAGCAGCTTCCTAGCGATTGAGCAGTGTCCCAGCAGCGCCGCGAACGTCAGGGCGGTCCATCCTTGGGCATCGGCGCAGTGGGGCCCGGTAACGGCGCTCTCCACGTCAGGATCGACACCCGCGTCCAGCAACGCCAGCACCGCGGCCTCGTCACCCGAGCAAACGGCCAACATGAGACTAGACAATCCGGACTTGTCGAGCGCGTCGGGCAGAACCGGCTCGGGCAGATGCGCCGCCTGGCGGATCAACTCCGGCCGGCCGGCTCGCAGAAGCTTCAAACCCACGTCCTCGTGGAGGCGCCGCGTGTACTCGACTGGATCATCGGCAGCCGATACAACCTCGTCCGAGCTGAAGACATGGTTTTATATACCTATATATGTATCGTTCCGAGCCAACTCGATCGGTTCACTCGAGTTGACGGGATAGCGCACTCACCATATCGGTCGGGCGGGACAGTCGACGCCCAGAAGGAGCCTCGCAGCTTGGCTGACGTCGTCCCGATCGACGAAACGGGCGTGCCGGTACTCTGCGTGTGCACCAGCTACGCGCAGCCACTCGACCAGTGGTGGCCCGTAGGTTCGCTCGTACGCCAACTCCTGGATACCGCGACGCTCGCCGTGCTCCAGCTGCCATGAGAACGCAAGGGCTAAATCGCGCGTCGATGATGGTTACGCGCAACAGGTGTGGATGTAGTTTACCTGGGAACAGCGCATGTAGTAGAAGAGGGCGTCGATAGCTCGGTCGCTGAGTACCAGCGGACATCTACTGCAATGCACCAGCCGGTCGACCAGTTCGCGCAGCTCTCGCAACGAACCGACGCAAGTTGTTAGCAGCGAAGCCTCCAGCTGGGCCGGGGGGTTGCCCGAGCCGCTCAGTGAGCTCGTGCTCGACCAATGCGGCAACACCAGCGAACCTGCGATTCAAATAATGAGAATACGTTTTTTCCCTCTTCATGGATGTTTTTGATACTCTATATACAATTTTGTGCAGTATCACGTGGAAATCGAATTATTTTCGATTACTTGACATGAGTGATGGTATAACCGGTGTGTGGTGTATATATGGAATGAAAAATTCACCGTTGGCGATCCTGCCGGCGTTGAGGTGCGCGAACGGCTGCAGCAGCGCGCAAAAATCGGGGTCACCGGCGACGGTGCGCTCGAGCCCGGCAGGGGTGAGCTGTTGCTTTTGCTGGGACTCGTGGGACAGGCTCCTGAGCACGAGCTCCTCGAGCAGGCTCTCGAGAGCCGCGACCAGGTAAACTGCCGCGAGCTCGTGCACCATACGGCCCAATCGAGCGTCGATCATCCAGCGCATGACTGCGCCGACCTATCGAATGGAGAAAAGAGTGACTTTCTCGTGCAAGTGTCTCCTTGTCCGTTAAGCGTGAAAAATGGTCCGAGTGTAAAAAAAAAAAAAAAAAAAAAACTTATCAGTCGAGTAAAAAAACAGCAGAGTTTAGGGTTTGCTGGGATGAACTTCGTCTCGNGTTGTCCAAAGTTGAAGTTCAAAGGTTTTAAAAGTAGTTAAGAATTGTAATTTTTAGCTTTACTTGTATCAAGTATGTATCACAATAATATACATACTGCGGGCATCTATGCCTGCGTGCTCTTTATACTGTGTTGCTTTCGCGAACGCGAGAAATTGCATTTCTCGGCCACGTCAGATTTGGCTATAAATCTAAAAAAATTTGTAATTTATTAAACGATACCTGAAAAAACTTGAATACAACAGCAACAATTCACAACTCATCGACGTAATAGCCGTATGTATGTGAGCACTCACCTCCATTTTTCGGTCATTGCAACTGTGGCTACTCGAAGTTTTATTAGTAAACTTTTTAATAATGACAGTGCATGTACGAATGAGGTTTCTCAAAAAATTTTACTTACATTGAGAAAAAAATAATTTCAACGTATTTCCAAAGCATAACGAGTTTAGAATTGATCACTTACAACGTAATACCAAGTTAACGGTGGGGACGTTGTACTGCTGCTAATACAGATGTAATAACTAACTTTCACTAATTACATTCTCAGTTAACATGAACACATATTTTTTAATGAAGAAAAAAAAATTGTCTGTAAATTTAAAACAGTATTTATACAAAGTAAGAGCTTAGTTGTTTTTTACAATAAAAAATATTTTATAAAATGGCCAGGAGCTATTTCATATTAATTATATGTATAACTTTAACATATTATGTATTATTATAGTTTGACAAAAATATTACAAATAGAAACAGTGTATTTTATAGTAATATCTTTGTTTAGATTTTTAATTAAAAGCCATAAATAAGGTCAAAATAGTTAAATAATGACACGTTATGAAGGAAAAATTCAATTTTATTTTTTAGTGCATTGGTTTTAACATCATAAAAATAAAAACAATTTATGTATGAGACAGCCATTTTTTTCAAGTTAAATCAAGTTATTTAAATATTTAATTAAAAGCATTCCAGATTTTATTAAATCTTCTATATAAACTCTATCATAACAAATGTACTTGTATGAAAACAAAAAAAAAAAAAAAAAACGAAACGAAAAACTGTACATACAAATGATAAAGGTTTCGAATAAACGATACTAAACAATAATAACAATACGTACATTGAACTATTATTTATATTTAATTAATACATATACAAATAGTGTAAAAACGTTTCAAACATGTATATGTACACCATGATTTTAATTCTGTTTTTAAGCTATTGAGTGTTTTTGTTTTGCTGAAACAGTGTCAGCGAGAATTAATATAAATCATAATTTTTGTACACATTAGCGAGATACATAAAATTGAGTTAACAGATAGGTATGTATGAAGCTCAAATAATGAGTAATAATCTAATAATAAACGTTGATTATTTACTAACATTGGGAATCAAAATGTATAACATCAATAAAATCAGTCGTAATTTTTATCGTATTAACTATGTTACTGTAATACTTTGGAACATCACAACTGTGAATTCTTTTGCGTCGATTAAGCGAATTTTCCTCAGTTTTGTGGTCTTTTGGCTTTCATCCTTCCTTGCAACGTGAGCAAAAGGCTATTAAGAACATCGTGGTTTGGAAATTTTTTGGCAAAAATCAGTCGTTTCACCGAGTCATCGTACGTCAAAAGAGCCACCATATTCTGTAGTAAAAACCCCTGACAATATTCTAATAACTGCGATGCATTGTAAACCTAGAATTTCCCATAGATTATTATAATACGATGTAGACACATAGATCTTTGTAACTGGAGAAATTTGATGAACATTACCTTGGCATGAATGTACATCGAAACAATGTTGTCGAGATTGATCGTCGTCGAACATTGGGCCTCACAAAACCGCAACAATCCGTCTAGTTGGAAAAAATTAGCCGCCGCCATCAATTCCAGCACGTCATTCTGACTGATTTTTAAGTTGGAGCAGCCTCCGTTGTACAAAAACTCCATAACCATCTGTAAATTATCCGGGCGATCAATCAAACGAGTCAAAACCTAACGTTGTTGAAAAAAGCAAAAGCGGGTCTTACTTGAAAAATGTGATAACGAATGTCGTTGATTTGAACGATCGGTGGATTGCCTTGGCACAAGTTGGAGCTCAGCATACTTTTAAACCTGCTCGACGAGGTGACGAGAACAATCTTATGACCATAGAACACCCGGCCCTCGACTCTGAACTGCACGTCGCTCAGTTCGGGATTGTTGACAAACTTGGGATCTATCCTCGAGCCACCGTTCGAGAGGCTCGCATTTCTTACCGGTTTAATGGGCTCCCAGCCAAAGCACGTGCTGAATATGTCGGCCAGCAGCAATATCGTCCCTTCTTTCTGTTTCGAGTTAACATCAATTAGATCCTGCCCGCACGTAGTAATATATAATCGCACGACACAATGACGATCGGTATATGACACACCTTGTTGTACCGAAAGATGTTGAAGAGCAACGGCAAGCCCTTTTCGACAAACTGCGTTGAATAGTCATCGGAGCAGACCTGGAAGTCCTGGAGGAGCTGATCGACGACCGAGTCCATCCGCATCTCGTGGGCCAACGAGAGGCTCTGCATCCAGCAGTGCAGCGTCCACGAGACCCCAAGTTCCCTCAGATCCATCGTTATGTCTGAAGAAAGTCGTTATACCATTTGGATAATTATTATCCGGTTGTTCTCGATTAGGCGATCTTATATGTGTAGCCAATCAATCGAATCACTCACCCAAATGGTTGTTCTCCACGCTGTGGTACATGGCCTCCTGAAGGACCTTGTACTGCGTCTTGCTGAATTGACGCACAGGGGTCTCGAGCTGCTGGTGTTGCTGCGTGGACGTGCCCTCGGCCAGGATTTCTTCGAGCGAGAGCACCTCCTTCTCGCCACCCCGCCAGCTGGAGAAGTTCGAGGGATGCGACAGGAGCTGCTGGAGACAGGCCCTGTGGCCGTGAGCCGCTGCCACGGAAATGGCACTGTAGCAACCGCGCTGGGCCGGCGAGCCAGAGTAGCAACACTTTGAGGAAAAAAAAAAAAAAAAAACAAAAAAAAAAACAATAATAAAGTTGATAAAAAAAATTGAACCGAAAATTTGAAAACAGGCGCAGTTTCGAACGCAAAATGGACGATGATGAACGAGCGGGCTATTTAAAAATCGGATCTTTTATTTGAAGAATACAACAGCTGAACAAGTATGGCCTACGAAAAACAATTAAACCAACTTTGTAGAAAATTTTTCCATGTATTCGCTCAGAAACGTGATGAAAATTTCTGATGAAGGAAAGCAAATGGTAAAACGTACTGTGCCTCTCCCCGTCGAAATTGTGTTGGCAGTCTTGGCAGGAGTAATTGACAATGCATACATGCAGATGTAGAGTGTAGACGATGTGTGCAAAAGTGTGTGATTGTTGCACATATTTTGGAGCAATTGGAGCAACTTGCTGCACGAGAGTCGCGACTGTCGCGACGACCCGAGAGAGACTCGAAGATAATATATAATACATGTGTGCGGTGGTTAGTGGTATGGATATCCACCAGCTGAGTGAATTGAGCCAGCTGATGAGAGAGCAAGAGCAAGGCAGAAGACAGGGAGAGAGTGCAGAAGGCTAAGGGTGGCTGATGCACCAACCGAGAAAGAAAGAGTGCATGTGCATGAGGGCCAGAGTAGGTATATCCATCGAGATCGAGGAGGACAAGGTGTAGAACTGTCTAGAGCTCAAGCCTGTGGAAATCAAAAGCCAAAAAATCACTATTGCTGGGCTGCAAAGTGCAATATTTAGGTACCTACATACTTACCCCGCAAACTCTGTACGTGCCTCGACGTGCATCATCAGCTCCGAATTTTATTCATAGTAATACGCCGATAGCAGTCCAGTCCACTCGAGAATAAAGGATCGCTCAATACTTACTGTCAAAAGAGCCATTATTTCCATCCCTCACCAGAGAACCAATCCGATTTTGGCAACTTAGTAACACATAAACAGGACCATTTAATCCAGTAAATTGATCGGTCTAAGTTAGGCTCGGCTCATGTTCAACCAACATTTACAACCAATCTCCTTCTTGTAAAGATTTATCAACTCATAAGAGGTTTGTTGGATTCAAAAAAAAATTTTTTAAACATTTTTTTTATCAATTGATTTTTGTTTTGATGCCAAAGGCCCAACAAATGTATTAGTGCATTTTTCAAACATATTTATCCTTTTGTTTAAAGTGAGAATTGGTTTTTTTGTAGATAATGGCTCACAGCTCTCGAACTTATGGATCCACGGATCATAGAACAGATGTACCTGACGTGGGTTTCAGTCCCACAGAGCTTTATAGTCTCAGTGAAAACATAATATCAAAGTTACAAAACCTCAATGCAAGTTACAGAATCCTTGAACGTGCCTATAAACAAATTGGAACCAATAAAGATAGTCAAATTTTGAGGGATAAGGTGTAAGTTGACAAGATGCTTAATTGGTGTCAGAGTCAGTTTTATAATTTTGTATATTTTATTTATCATTATTTGTTAAAGGCATGTAACTCAGATGAGTACAAACGAAGTCGTTTCCCAAACACTCAAGGATATTGCAAGGCTGACATTTTTAATGAGGCGAGGAGATAAAGAGCAAAAATTGCAAATTGAGAAACTTACCAGTGAATTCAAGCATGCACTACAAAAGTATTCGGAAATGCAGAGGGTAAGTCGATATTTTTATTCACTATCCTTTTTCATTTACTTTTTTTATACATACCAAAAAGTATTTTTGACTTGTGTACTTTTCCAGTCCATTGCTGATAAAATGAAAAAGCACATACTCGTTACAAGTCACATAGAAACTCATGATGATGAAGAAGATGAGAAACAAAGTTTACTCCAAGTTCAAGAAGATGCAAGACAAAGAGCTGAACAAAGGTTGGTTTAGAGGAAAAAACATAAAGCTCCTCAGTAAGAATTATTTTCTATTCATCCAACACGCAATGCAATTAATTTCCACCTTGAAAAGAACATTGAAGTTATTTTTTAATTACCCAACTTAATTTCTTACTAAAACCTTATTAAAAACTAATAGCTCTCATAATTCGAATTAGATAATATAAAGGCTTATCATTTTTTTTACTTTAGAGCATTGGAATTTGATCATGGCTTAATTTTGGAGCAAGAAGAAAGAATTAAGAGAATTGAAGGTGATATTTTAGATGTTAATCAAATAATGAGGGAACTTGGAGCTGTTGTGCACCAGCAAGCAGATTCAATTAGTAAGTAATGTTTAAGTTTTACGGAACTTGGCTACATACTTGGCAAAGTAATTCAAAAAAATCTAATAAAAAATTAATTAATAATGCAGATACCATTGAAAACAACATCGAAAGCGCATATGGTCAAGTTGCTTGTGGGGCGGAAGAACTGATAAAGGCTAGTAATCACCAAAATAAAATTCGTAAAAGTTTTTGTTTTATTTTTAGTATAGCTATATTTTTCGTCACTATTTTAATAGTGGTCATATTATCGAATAAATCGAGTTAACACTCTTAATGCTCCCAGACAAGAGAAAATATCAAACTTGGTTGTCTCATTGTAATACAATGACTTGTGCTCAACAAAAATTTTAAAGTAAATGATAAAAATTCAAAGTTATTCAAGAAATAACATACAAGGTGCTTATTGATTTTATGTTAGTGGATTAGATCCATCAGTAGGCTTTTATAAGTGAAAATACATAGTTTTAATAGATAACTTTTTCACTGTAGCTTAAACAGAAAAACTACAAAAATCATAATGTAAAATCATATTCACGAAATTCGATGTATTCTTTAACGAAATAATTTATAGTTATTTAAATTGAGATTGAACCTATTACTTTAATCACGCTTCAATCTGTATTTGGCATACACCATTCATATTTGTTAAAATCTAAAGTTTATTTAAATTTGTATTTTTTATAAATTTTTTTGATT